CCATCCTCGACCCCAATCTCCGCAAGCCACAACTAACTCACAAACGCGCCTCAAATTGGAACGAACATAGCACCTAGCCGTGCAATAAACTTAATCAATAGCAAACTCCCCAACTTGGCTCAAAGCCATAGATCAAAACGCACTCAATAAATCCTACGCATGTACTCTATTGCTGTCATGATATCATAGTGAGATTAACTCAAATCCTCTATAGGCTTGTGAAATCATAGATCAGTTAGGATTTAACTCTTCTGCAATTCTCACCTTCACCTTCACGACAGATACACCCACTCCCTAAGCGACCAATTTAGATTTCAACACATTTTCTTCACTTGTAAATGAGATATCCTAACATACACATAAGGATCACACCACTTTAGAACACTCCGAAGGAGATAACCCACCTGTTTTCGCCTCAATATAACATTCTACATATCTTCCACCATTATACACATCACACAGTCACTTAGCCTTCCTGAGTCTGAACTCATACCGCAACATGTAACTTACTTCACTCCCAACTAGGAGCCTTGAAAAGATTCTTCCATAATTCGGGGTTACACATCCATTCACAATGGAGATCATACACTTAATAGTTCATCTATCATCCAGCAGGCCTTCCTCGCCACTTCCAAGTCATATAGATACCTCTCGCAGTGCTAACGTACTCATCATATAGCTACCAACTGTCATTCCCGCTAATGGGGACAATACCGAATGTATAAGTTCAAAAACACAGCTCACATAATCAGCATCTTGGTGCTCAAGCCATAAGCAAAATCCGGCCTCAAGTCCACCCAACTGGGCCGACATCAACTCACAAAGATCACGTCTCACCCCTCGATCAGGGAATCACAAGCTATTTAGGCACATCTGATATTGAGCGCTCACGCGCGCGTACGAACACGTAGAATGAATTTCAAGGGTTTCTTTTCAAGCTGAATCAAGAACGCACGATAAGAATTCAAGAATGTGAAGTTTTCCTAAAGGTTCTGCAGCCTCTCGAGGATAAGTACAGACGTCTCCGTACCGATCCGCGAGACTCTACTAAACCGGCTCATGATTCGCGAGACCAAGTAACCTAGGCTCTGATACCACCTTGTCACGACCCAAACCCCGCTCGTGATGGCGCCCAACACATTGCTAGGCAAGCCCGACCATTTATACAACCTTAGCCAAATAACCTATGTAAATAATTAAATGCTCGCTACCACAATACCAATTTAGTGCAGAAATTTTTATAAGATCTCTAACATTTGAAAACCGCAAAATAAAATACTAAAAAGCCCACCGAATCTGGTGTCACGAACATGAGCCTCTAAAACAGATTATCCACCTATTACAAATCCGACTAGGAAAATTACGAATAAAATAATAAAGATAGATGGGAGAGATCAGAGCTGCGAACGCCATGCAACTACCTTGATACTCCCGGATAATGCAGCTCAGCTAACACGAGTCCTCACTCACCCTGTGGTGTACCTGAATCTGCACACAAGGTGCAGGGAGTATTGTGAGTACTTCCAACTCAGAAAGTAATAAATATAAATAAAGTCTGAGGATAACAAATCCTAAATAAACACAAAGTAAAGCTAATAATACCATTAAACAACAATACAGTTAGAATAAACATCACAACAGATGAAGAAATAAATAACAGTTAAATATGCAATGCAACACATAAACCGGTACCTCCAGTACCCCGCTGCGGCCGTGCAACCCGCTCCATTTATTTAACGTCGACGGCGCTCACTGGGGGTGTACAAACTCCGGGAGGGGCCCCTTACGGCCCAAGCGCAATAATAAGCCATCTCGTGGCATCGAACAGGCCCTTGGCCTCATATCAATATCATTATTAAACCACTGCGGAGCGCAGCCCGATCCCATACTCAGTCCAACAATCACACAACAGTATAAAAATATTCAGCTTAAACTTCATTAAAATATTACTTAAGTTCCAAGTTTTGAGAAAAGGTGGTTGAGTTTGCAAAACAGTATTAAATACTAGGACTGAGTTTAATATTTATGAATATGGTAAGAAATCATTAAAACAATCCCTGAAGGATTCAAGTAGTTGGCACAAGGCCCAATGATAACAATTTAATCCATTTTTTATAAGGATATCACGAAACTACAAACAAATAGGTAGTAATTTTTTATTAAGCGGGACGGACCACGTCACAATCCCCGATGGTGCTCTACCCCACGCCCATTATCCGGCGCGCAAGTCACCTCATATAGCACTACGTTGTGCAAATTCGGGGTTTCAAACCCTCAACACAGCATTTACATTTATTACTAACCTCAAGCCGGCCAAAGTTCTAGCTTGCTACGCCCTTGCCTTTCGAATTCACCTCTTCGTGCGTCGAATCTGACCAAAACCACAACGAATATGTCACAATATGCTAAGGGAATATAACCCAATCGAAAAGACTCGAAAAACATCGAAAATCACGAAGTTGGCAAAACCCGAGCCCCGGGCCCACTTCTCGAAAAATTATAAAATTCACATCACCGGATTCCTTATCTCGCCACGAGTCCATGCATATAAAGAATACCAAAATCGGAGTCCAAATGACCCCTCAAATCCCCATTTTTGTTCTCTTAGGTTTCAAGCCCTAAACCACCATTTTTGACCTTAAATCCTTGAGTTTTCAGTCTAATTTCATGTGTTTGCACCATAAAATCATGTTTTAGGCTTAGAAATTCTTACCTCAATGAAGTCCCTTGATTCCTCTCCTCTAACTCGCCCAAATTCTCCAAGTCCGAAGTGAAAATATGAAACCCTTTCAAAAATTCGCGAAGGGAAATAAAAACTATTCCGACCAGTTATTTCCGCATCTGCGGCTCCCGCTTTTGCGGTCAATGCACCGCTTCTGCGGACATATCCGCTTCTGCGGTTTAACATCCGCTCCTGCGCCTCCCGCTTCTGCGGACAAATTAATGCATCTGCGGATCCCCAAAAGAGCTCAAATACAGCATCTGCGGTCCTCCTGTCGCATTTGCGACTCCGCAGATGCGGTCACCAGTTCCGCACCTGCGGTCCCTGCCGCTTCTGCGTCTCTCCTCTCGCTTCTGCGGTACCGCTTCTGCGGTCCCAATTCCGCAGAAGCGAAAATACCAGAAGCAGCACAGGTTCTGCAATCTCTTAAGTTCAAAACTTCCCGTTAGCCATCCGAAATCACCCCGAGGCCCTCGGGACCTCAACCAAAAATACAAGCATGATCCAATACCTTATTCAAACTTGCTCCAATCATTAAAACACCTCAAACAACACTAAAACCATCATTTCTCATGCCTAAGTTCTTCTAAAACTTCCGAAACACGCATTCGATCAGAAACCCAACCAAAACACCTCCGAATGACCTGAAATTTTGCACACATCCAAAATCACCTAACGAAGCTACTGCAACTCTCGGAATCTCATTCCGACCCCCGGATCAAAATCTCACCTACCATCCGGAATTCGCCAAAATACTATCTTCGCCAATTCAAGCCTAATTCTACATCGAACCTCCAAAATCAATTTCGATCGCACTCCTAAGTCACAAATCATCCTCCGAAGCTAACCAAATCATCGGAATTCAAATCAGAGCCCTCTAACACAAAAGTCAACATCCGGTTGACTTTTCCAACTTAAGCCTTCTTAAAAGAGACTAAGTGTCTCATTTCTTATCAAAACCATTCCAAACCAACTCTAACACATCAAATACTGATAATGAAACTTAAAGAAGCATAACATGGGGAAAACGGGGCGGTAACTCACGTGACGACGGGTCGGGTCGTCACAGTTTTTAAGTTCAATTAATTTGGATTTAAATAAAACTGAAAATATGACTTATTGGAAAAGGCAAAATACTTTGCCCTATTTGCAATAATTGAACTATATATCAACAGACTTATCTTAATTGGTCATCTTTTGTACTACATATATTGCTAAATGAAAAAGAAAAACAAAGTTGAACGTACTCCATATTACTTAACATTTCAACAGATACCATCAAAGTAAAAAGAAAGTTTTAAAATCTCCATTCATATTTTTATTTCTAAAAAAAGGAAAAAAAAGAAAAGCAATATGTTCTCTTTCCTTTTCTTTTTATTTTTCCCTTTTCTTTCTTAAATATTTTTTTGTGAGTGTAAGATACTAAGATTGGTAAATGAATGAGAAAAGTCTTGTCAATTTATTTTGTAGAATGTCAAAAAAAAAAAAAAAGAAAAGAAAACCTTATATTGGATTCCCTATATGTCATATAAAACAAGCTAAATTAGGTGGTCGGCACCTCTTTTCTGGTAGTTGGCATTGTGTTAGAAAGTTGAGGCAGTTGAAATTGTCGGTGTTTTCCTTAATAATATATCATCCTTCTTTTTTTTCTTCTTGTTTTCCTTTTTTTCTTTTTTCTTTTCTGGATATATTTTGTTATCTTTTGTTTCTGGCTTTTATTTCTGCATTTTTAAACTTTAGTTCTTCACATCACATTTTGTAAACAGTTATAGAGCAATTCCCCCAAAAGGAAGGAGTGCAGAACAGAACCAATAAACATAAGTAATCGAGAATAATGACCAATAAGGTCGCGTGGCCTAATGGATAAGGCGCTCGCCTCCGGAGCGGGAGATTGTGGGTTCGAGTCCCACCGTGATCGTTTACTTTTTCTGCCTTAGGAAAATTGTGGTTCTTCTATTTTTGTTACTCCTATGTTTTTTTCTCGATGCCTCACGCGAGATAAATAAACATCCAATTTTTCTCCACCTAAATAGTGAAAATAAACTTTCAAATTAATCATCTACTTCGTATTTTTAGTTCACTTCTTTTTTTTTTTTTTTAAAAAAGAAAGATAATCTGTCTCGTAATATCTTTCTTCAAATTTATTTCCATTGTTCACTTTTGTATATATTTTTTTGTTTTTTTGCGGAAACTCCCCATTTGTAGAATTATACTGGGATTGTTGTCGTTATTGTTGCGGAAACTAATCATAATATGTGCCTGATTATGAAATAAGTCCTAAGGGAATATAGCTTGGTAGCTATTGAATATCTCTATACCAGCAACTGAATAACTTACGTAGTTTTATTTATGTACATTTTGATTCCCAAGAAAACTGGAAAACAGTCCAATCATTTATCAACAAATGTCTTAAACTTATAAATTTTTTAACAGCCTAAGCACATATGATGAAAATTAAGTTCCACTATGGTCGTGTAATTTGGTCATACCACCATACACGCTGGGGATAATTTGTGGAACTAACCTTCAAACTATCCTTTTGTTGGTGATTCAGTTGCAATTCTCATATGTATTGGTCCTTTTCTATTTGCCCACCAGAGGTAGAAAACTGAAGAAACTATCAGTACACCTGCTGCACTTCCAGCTACAATTCCAAATATTATTCCGACGCGCTTCTTCTTGCTTTTGGAAGAACCACCATTGTTTGCCACTGCAACAAAATCATAAGTAAACAAAGCGCGGAACCTCATTTTATCATCAGTTCAGAAGAAAAAGAAGTGAAAAGTGATACTAAAGGAAATTGAATGAGAAGAACCTTGAATGACATGGATTGCAGAGACTAAAGGACCATAGGTGCTTTGAAAAGGAATGCAACAAGTGCCTTTTCCAGCCCACAAGAAATGGATTTCGATCACTCTGTTAGTCACATTTGCCTCAAATGTTTTAACTAAAGCTCTTTTTGATCCACCTGCTTCTTTCTGAATGTTAAAATCTTCAAGAAACTTTCGCCCTTCATCCGTTGCCAAAAAAAAAAACAAAGAAGGATAAACTTTAGATAAGAAGGGGAGCCTTGACTTAACTGGTAAAGTTGCTGCTATGTGAACAGGAGTTCATGGGTTCGAGCCATGGAAACAACCTCTTATAGAAATGCAGGGTATGGCTGCGTATAATAGACCATTGTGGTCCGGCCCTTCCCCGGACGCCGCACATAGCGGGAGCTTAGTGTACCGGGCTGCCCTAAACTTTAGACAAGAAACTGTTGAAAAACTTTCAACTGAATAAATATCCAATTCTTTTCGGATAAGTTGGTTTAAGCTTGAAGTACCTGTATATAAACATCAAATAACCGTCTCCCGAGGCCTTTCCAAGAGTGAGAATCATCCATTTGTATCTCAGCAAAATGAAGTTCTACTTTGTATTTTCCACCGCTCAATCCAAAACCATAGTACCTTAATGAGTTAGGCGATATCCTAGTAATTTTTATAAAGCTCGGAGTCTAATGTGCTTGTGATCTGAGAACCTGTCTCAGCTATATAGTTTTGTCCATGTGGGTTGGAAATGAAAATGCCAGAGCTGCTCACTGCCCATCGATTACTGGGGCTCATGTAAAACGAGGCTGCACTTAATGTCTCTGAGTCGTTATCGTATTTGGTGCCATCTGCAGATTCTGTTTCTGTTCCTCCAGAGTTGATGAAAGAGGAAGCTAACACAAAAATTGTATTTAGCATTCCAACATCAGATTAAAGATCAGAAACATAAACATATTTTACATGTCTTATGGGTTCACTCAATTATTTTCAACCTTTGTGTTAAATTTTTGTTACTTCAGTGGTTATGAGTCCTCAAACCAGATTTTTCAGTTTATATCCTTTTTTCCTTTGTTTGCGCTCATCAAAAATCTTAAAAAAGGGCTACCCTTCTATTTATACGCAAATCAGACTGATGAATTTCAAGATAAGTAAATGTAACATCCCAATTTTCTATAACTTGAGCAAGATGGGATCTTTGGGACAGAAATGTAGAGCTTCAATATCATGCCCTTGCTAATGTAATGAGTTTTGCTCATACAAGATTCCTTCCTCGGCCTTACATTATATAAACGGGAAATAGGTTTCCAATGTTCATTATCCAGCTAATATGGTGTGAGTTTTAAAATATACCTCACTAGTTATTTTCTTATTTTCTAAAGGAACTTAATGGAAGAAGTCTCATCATACTTGGGAAAGGAGTGCACTTACACGAACTAGCTATGTCGAGGCACCTGGTGTTCCCTTGCAGGCACGATAAAGTTGAAGAAGCCTTGCTACATCAATCAAATTAAATATATGCGCCATATCAGCAAAGCAAGTAGTAGCAGACAATTTAACTGATAGAACTAAAACTATTTTATTGTTTACCTACATATTTGAGATGGATGACAAACAGAAACGAGAAAAGAGGAAACTTTTGAAGGAATCAATGATTTATATATGTGCTGATTAGTAGAAGCCATAGTAGTTCCCTATGGAATCAATAGCAGTATGACCTAAACCAAGGAATCCAAGGAATGGAAATGAGTACAAGTGTACAACTAATAAATTGCCCACCTTTTCCTTAACATAATTTTAGAAGACTTTCTATTCTTGTCTAATTAGGGGTCAAAAGAGGAAACTAGTTTAAGCATTAATTAATTTCATGGCGTATCCAGCATCAAAGCAATATCTGAGCTTTCTTATATTCATTCATCATTCTCGTACTTTATCCACAATTAATGACTTGAACCTCCTGTATTAACGCTAGCAAAATGAGATTATCAACCTCATTATTTCAGTCATGCTAATTCTTTTGAAAGGATTTTCAACAATGTACAGGATATCATTGTTTGCCAAATTTTGATCTGGAAGTGTCGGGGGGTGATATACCTTCCATCTGAAGTTCTGTCACTAATAGAAGTCCCAAAAACATTCCTGCATGAATTTTACATATGAGCCAAATGGAAATAGTTCAAACTGACGCACCAATTAAAAATAAACAGCTGTCTAGAACGTATCGACTTTGTAAAGCTTGAAGAGGGCTAACTCACATTGATAAACCTGATCTTTTTGATGTTAGTTCTCCAGAGAGAGAATTAAAGGAGACATCTCTGTCATTCAAAATAGGAGAAATAACTATTTTAAGAAAGATGCAAGGAATTAACACTGAAATAGAGAGTAAAGTGAAGTAAAAAGTGTAGAACGGCCTTCTGCACTACTCAATCCTCAAAACTCTAATATGCACACTGTGAGGATAAGTGAAAAGGATAATACAATTGTATTTTTCTTGAAGCAGCTGACGCAAAATTTGACATGCGACTCTTATGGATATAGGCATTGGATCATCATACACGAACATCTAGAGGAAATGGTGCATTTAGTTCACCAGGTTTAAAAAAGGATTCTCTTAGGAGTAGGTGGGGCAAACTAACGACTTAATAATTATATCTCACACTGGAAATAACTTAATTAAGGAGACTCTTCTTTGGGAATTCTTTAAAGTTTGAGAATCCTCCGAGCAGTATGTCTAAATGTATAGTTTGAAAGTAATCCTGCAAAAAGATAAACTATAAAACACTGTTAGGCCGGAGAACTAATGAAAAGAGAATGTATAGAGACAAAGGAGAAATTAAAGTGTAAAAATTGGGAAAAGACTACTTGAGATCACTCGATGTTCACTGACATGGGACCAACTTAAAAAAGTGAGCTTTTTAATGGACAATCTACAATTAGGAAAGACGAAAATTGAAATAAATGGAACTGCAGAGAGAAATCAGGACCACATAGTATGTCAACAATGAAATGATGCATCAGAAACCTCAACATACAAACTCTAGTAAGAATTAGCAAAATCAAGTCAAAGATTAAGACTTACAAGGCAGTGAGATTGGAACTCATGATATTGGGAGGTAGCTTGCCGTTCAAGTTGTTGCTTCCTAGATATCTGAGATGCACAACTCAACTTCAACTAAAGTAGCCATGACAGAACCAATGAAAATAGGTCCACACCAAATCTTAAAAGCACTCTACTTGCTAAAAAAAGGCCTATTTCTCTTGCACATTATATTTTAAAGGTATCTTGCTGCTGATTGACTTCAAAGAGAAGTAAGGGATTGACTTACAAGAATCGTAATGAAGCAAAGTCTTGAAACGATCTTGGTATTTGACCTGTCAACTTGTTGAAGCTCAAGTCCCTTTGTGGTCGTATTTAATCAGAGGGGGGAAAATTATCAGATAAGTATGCACATTTAGAAATGGCAAGTATAGGGAAAATCTAAATGTATATATGTGAACCACCTCCTATTTCAACTAATATCAAAAGGAGAAGCTTTAGCAAGAGAGAGGTGTTGCTTGCAACATAGAGCATGAATCTAACAATTGATGCTATCAAAGCAACTTACAAAATTTCCAAGTTTCCAAAAGAGCTAAGTTTCTCTGGCAGTTGGCCAATAATTCGGCAATTTCTCAGTGATCTACAGGTGAAAAACATATGAATTTGATACACTTCAGAATCATCAATGATAGAAATCTTATTGTGAAAGCACTGAGGCGCAAGATCATACAATATGGAAAGACTCGTTAAGTTTTCCACGAAATCCAGAGAAGAATCTTCATTATGCAGATCGCCTATTCTCCTACATATCGAAAAAGGAGCAGGGCGTACCTATGAAAAAAATCTGAAATAACATTTCCTGTTAACTGGACAAAAAATATGTTTCCACAACTTGCTGTACTTGACAAAAAATTATGCAGATCGCCTATTCTACTGGAGTTACTAATGAATTCTCTTTTCTTGTTTTTTTTATTTCCGTCTTTCTGAGCCGAGGGTCTATCGGAAACAGCCTCTCTGCCCTATCGGGACAGGGGTAAGGTCTGCGTACACATTACCCTCCCCAGACCCCACTATGTGGGATTTTACTGGGTAGTTGTTGTTGTTGCTGTACTGGATCGGAATATACACTGAGCAAGAGGAGAATAGACGGTGCCTTGATTTATGTGAAGATTTATCAAGATAGCCGTATGTCACAAGATAACGTTGATTTGGAAAGATTTTTTCCAATCAAACCAAGCAGAGGAACAGAGAGCTTAAAGCTGTTAACTTTCTGTATGTTGTGGTTCATTTATGTTAATAAGTAGCATAAGGCAAATCATGTCCATGATCCAAATCCAATACTCGAGTCACCAAAATTTCACTTTTGCGTTTATATTTTGTTATAGCCGTCTGTGAAGGAACATAGAACATACAGCAAATTGGTATCACATACTTTAACAGCGATAAACCTTACAAATCTTGTAGTTTATTTAAGGCACCATAATTGCTTGGAATTGGTCCTTCAAGAAGTGTTCCCTCTAGTCTCCTGTTAACAAGAACTAATCTCTCAGAAATCTGTTAAACAGAAGACAATTAAAAATGGATGCATTTATCTGGAAACCTAAGATAAAAGAAATGCTAGTTAATCAGAAAACCAGAAAAACAAAGTCATTCATACAGGACTTGGAAGTTCATAAAGTTCACAAAGAATTCAGGAAGCTTTCCAGTAAAACGATTGTCAGATGCCCATCTGAAACATGACAAGGAACTCCAAGTTAGTATGGCAAAGTTGAATATTTTTTTCTTGAAATATTATTGAGCAATTTTGACTAGTGTTGAGGGCTAGAGACGAAGAGGTACAAAATCTCGAGGGACTTCAAATTTGATAGCTCCCTTGGAATTGGACCATTCACTCCACTGCTATCAATATACCTGAGATTCCAATAATATTATCAGTATCTAGTGGCAAAGACTATAGATTGTCAATTCAAATGGATTAAACATACATCCATTTGATTCTTACAAGACAGCTAATTCAATTCTTGGAATAAGTACTTTCTCTTTTCATATGTATATCATCCGCGAGCTAAAAACGAATGATAAAAAAACATAAAACAAAATTCTTTATATAAACTTACAGCTGCTGTAAGGAGACTAAGTTTCCAAGCTGAGATGGCAATGGTCCGTTGAAATTATTTGAACCAAAACTTCTGTATAAAGGGTAATCTTTCTTAGGAAAACAACAGTAGGGAAAAGAAAAATGCTTAAACTCTACTAAGACCGACAATAATACAACTCAAAGCGAGATAATTACTTACAAGGAGACTAAATTGGTTAGCCTTCCAAGTTCTGGAGGCACAGGACCAGAGAGATTGTTAATGCCAAGGCTCCTGTTTCACAAAGTTCTTAATCACAATGATAACAAGTTGATTCCAAGAACCAGAACGATACATGAATCTACAACGACAACCATAAGGAAAAATTGTAGGAAGCTTAAGTTCTTTACTAACAAGTACTGCATCTTTGATAACTGTCTTATTTCAGCTGGAATGGTCCCATTGATAACATTTTGACCCAAATTCCTACATACAAAACATCATCACTAAACTCGTTTAAGTTAAAGAATAATATTACAAAGTACTAATCATAACAGTATTGCAATCACTTACAAGTCCATCAATTCTTTTAGCACAAACAATTCTTTAGGAATCTCACCAGAGACATCCAAGGCATAAATTTTCCTGAACATATAAGCATTAAAAACACTCTAAAGAGAAAAACTCACAAACTCAAGAGAATAGAAAAAATTTGAAAATTAGCTCACAAATGTGTAATATGGCAGATAGTAGCAGAACAATCACAAGCAACCCTAGGATTAGCTTGTTCTGGTGCCCAAGGAGCATTTCGATTACAGGGATCCGTGCTTAGATTTAGCTTGCTCCTCAAATTCCAATGGTCAATAATCTTATTCAGTGCATCCACTATTTTATAAGAAGAAAACAATCAATTAATTAATCAATAAATCTGTATACGGTGGAAATCGGGGCTACCCGATTTTGTTAGAAAAAGTGATACTACGTCGAGAGGCCAGGACGCCGAGCTCGGGGTTGAGGCTCCTTTCCAATATCGAGGTCGAGGTCGATATCATTTGCCGAGGTCGGAAGAAGGCCCACTTCGAGATAATACCGTTATGATTTAGTAACAGAAAGAGCGAGATACCCGCAACGGCCCGAAGATCACGGCGTAAATTTCAGAACGGATTGGTCCATGGCGGTTAGACAGCTGTTCAATATGGTTTCCTACTGTAATTAGAAGTGTACCTTATGTAGGACCCCCTATTATATAAAGGGAGCCCATTCATTTGTAAAGGACGGTTCATTGAGAAGAGAATATACATTTATCGCTTTCTTGCTTACTGTTCATCAGAGTTGCCTTATAATTTGCTGTTCTTACTAACCCACCTCGAGACTGTCAAAAGTCGAGGTCGAGATTTAGCTCATACACTGGTTTGACTTATTTTATTCTTCAATTTATATATTTAATTCCTTGTTTATCAATTGGTATTGGATTAAATCACATATCGTTAAAACCACAATATAAGTTTAATTGTTACTCGGATTTTAGGGTAAACAAAATCAATCAATCAACTATGCCTCAATTCAAAACAGTTTGATAGTCAGTTATATGAGTCCTCTATACTTGTTCTGCTTGTACAACGTGTCTAGGGGAGCATGTCTCAACAAGTTCATTACTAAGATAATTGTCATAATTTAATTATATCAACACTAGCTGTCGACCTAACAAAAAAAAGCAGCCCCGTACACCAAGCTCCCGCTACACGCGGGAGCAGGAAAGGACCGGACCACAAAGATCTATTGTACGCAACCTTACCCTACATTTCTATAAGAGGCTGTTTCCACGGCTCAAACCAGTGACCTCCTAGTCTTACTCTTTACCAGTTACGCCGAGACTCCCCTCCTACTAGTTGTTGACCTACAGCAACCCTATAAAATCTTTAAGAAACAAAAGGATAGGAGGAAAACCCATATTAAAAAAGAAAAGAAAAGGAACCTTCAATAGGGTCAGTGAATGGTTGTGCAGCAGCAATTTTCAACATCAAAAGGACAAGAAAGCAAATATCCAGAAAACCCATTACTGAACACTACCAGCAGAGGTTTAATTTCCTTTCTAATTTGGGGATAGTGCTGGTGATGAAGTTGAAGCTCAGCTTATAAATATGAAGGTTTGGTGGTGAAGTGAATAAGCCAAGAAGAAACAACAGAGCGGAGTCGTGAATATGGAATTTCTGGATTTTCTCTGTTCACACAACTATAGTCTTCTTTGACCTTGATAAAGAAATGATTAGTAATTGTTCTAAATTCAAGCTGATGCAAAGCAACCAAAGGAAGAAATTGAATATATGACCAGGCCCTTTTTCTTTGACTGTTGTCTTACCCGCCAAATTTTGTTAATGTAGTTGCTATTTTAACAATATTTTGGTAAGAATAAATATTTTGATAGTGTTAAGAATTGTTATACGCAAATTAACTTGTTGAAGTAGGTTATTTTTGTTATTGCATTTTTTAATAACCAACAATAAATATAAAAAAAAAAAAAAACTGGACTATGCAAAATCGAACCGAAAAACTGAATGCACAACCCTAGTCAAGGACAGCAAGTCAAGAGCAAGGACACACTAGTAGATGGAAAAAGAAGTCAAAATAGCACGGTATAGCCAGTTTTCGGACTGATCATTCAAAAATAGCCAGCGTTTACCAAGTCAATGAAAAATAGCCACTATTTTGCTGCAACAGAGACCGGTCCAACATAATATACTGGAGTTCGATGCACCTGTGTATGAACTCCAGCATATTATGCTGGACCGGTATACTTTCCTGGCTCCAGTATAATATACTGGAGACTGGAGCACCGGTGCTCCAAACTCCAGTATATTATGCTGGACCTGTATACTTGCTGGAACTCCAGTATATTATGCTGGAGTTCTAGTGTACTTATGCTGGAACTCCATCATATTATGCTGGAGTTCCAGCATACTTATCCTGGAACTCCAATATAATATGCTAGAGTTCAAGTATACTTATGCTGGAACTCCAGCATAATATACTGGCGTATTTTTCGGGTTTTGAACAGTGTTTTCGCTCAGATTTATCTTTACATGAAAAATGGCTAAATTTCTATTACTTTTGAAACTGGGCAATTTTTGAACGACCAGTTGTAAATCTGGCTATTTTTGAATTCCTCCCGAAAAAGAAAGTACACATAATTGGAGATGGTCGTTCTGTTGAAGAGTGATTCAAAACTTTACTGTGTAGTAAATTGGGAATGGATAGTTTGGTTGAACTAGTCTTTTGGTTTCTGTTAAGTGGTTTCCTTTATTCACTCAAGTCAAGTTAGCTTTGCTAATAAAGTGCAGTAGTGGGTTACAGGTCCTAGATATTAGGTCTGTTTTGTTTCTTTCAGCCTATATATATGTGGGCATATGTTGTTATCTATTCAAGTCAAGCAATATTAAAAACAAAGTTGACAGCTTTAAGTTCCTTTCTTCTCTGTTTCTGCTTATTTTCTACTCTCTGCCCAACAAATTTTGGCATCAGAGCCATTGCGGTCTTGTGGGCATTTGAGCGAACAACTTGGGTTCATTGGGTATTGAGCGATATAATTTTTTTTTTTGGGGCTTTTCAGGGGTAAACACGAGAGAAAGAGAGGTAGAGAGTTACTTTGATTTTTTTTTTAAAAAAAAAAAAAACCGTATTAACAACAATAGCGGCACTAGTTGGATTTNGGGAACCTACATTAGTGGATACTTACATAAGAGGCAAGCATATGGTACCTAGAGCCGGACTTGTGACCTTCTTTGTGAGAGAAATGAGTGAAAGTCCTTCAACCTCGGTTTGTGTGTCAATACTCTAAAAGGTGAGGTTCGCTTAGGGAGAGTTGAGGATATTTGAGTTTGGGTTCCACAATGACCAAGGTATTTGAGAAAAGCCCTTTGATGAAATGTGTCACCCCTTGATGCTCTTCTGTCACACTTGATCCATAGTTTTCAAAAGCTTAAAATGTGTTAATGATGTATTCATATTGAGGGCAATTGTTAGTCCCAATTGATGCTTGTTGAGGCTACTTCAGGATAGCTGCAAATTTTTGGATTGCTCTTTTCGGGGTGGGTCTTATTTTGTTTGCTTGAGGACAAGCAAAGGTTTAAGTTTGGGGGAGTTGATAAGTTAGGATTTTACCATGATTATACCCCTTACATGCTATTGCTTTTGTTACAAATTGCCACAAAATAGTCCCCAAAAGGCTTACAAATTGTGCTTGATTGCAGGTTTGAGCGACAAGATGACAAATGTCAAAAATCGGCTCAAAACAGAGTGAAACCTACCAAGTGTCAAGAACAAGTGAAGTGAGGAACAGGAAGACCTAGCGCGGACCGCACTGATATGCCATGCGGCCGCGCTAGGAGATTTAGAGAGGGGTAAATTGAGGTGCAAGCCACGCGGCCGCACCCCATTTCTACGCGGTCCGCGCAAGGGAAGTTCAGAGAAGGCCTAAGTCTCACGCGGCAGCGCTACAAATCAGTGCGGTCCACGTGAAGGAGATTTAGAGACGTGGAATTTTGGCCAAGTCAAGCTATGCGGCCGCGCACCATTTCTGTGCGGTCCGCGCCAACCCTCCGCCGTGGCCGCGCTACATTTCTGTGCAATCCGTGGCCCCCAACTTCAGAGATGAGATTTGAGAGTTCAAAGAGCCTACGCGGCCGCGCTACCTTTTTGCGCGGTCCGCGCTGACCCCGCAGGGGTATTTTTGTCCGAAATTTCCAGCTCGGTATAAATAGATCTTTTTACCATTTTTAGGTCAAGTTTTAGATTCTGAACAAGAGCTGCGCTCGTGAGAACCATTGTGTAGCCTATTTTGGCAATTTTCCTCTTCAATATCATAATTTTTAATTAGTAATCAATCATTATGTTATTTCCATCATCTATTTCTACTATTTCTTCTTTAATTATGACTAGCTAAACCCATTAGCTAGGGTTGTGGCTCAACCCTAGTGTGGGTAGTTAATGGGTGTTGCATTCTAGGGTGAGATTGAGATTGGGTATTTGTTATTTGGGTTAATTTTGTGTTTCAATCTAGAATTTGTGGTTGCAAACATAAATTCAAGCTTAGTGGGTCTAACTCTTCTTGAGAAAGAGAGTCATATGACCCTAAAAGTTGACCCAACACGGAATTGGGATGGACCGATGAGAATGGTAGTCCCAATTAACGTGTTAAACCTCAAAAGAGTAACTACCCTACTTGAGCCCTAGTTGCTCGGTCTAATTGGCCTACCTAATTGGTCTCGAGAGAGTCAATTGGGCAAAATCGTTCTCTCTACCGAGAGGTGTGAGAATGAGTGCAATTGTGCAACGGATATAGCAATAAACCCAGATTTATCAATCTCCCCTTAGTAGCTTATACCCGTTAACTAGCCACCTAGGTAGTGTCACGACCCTAGTGCCTTTTTCCTATATTAAGCACAACATAGCAATATTTCCTTAGCATAATTTAGCTTTAATCCTTAGATTACAATAGTAGTTTTAAATATAAAAACCCCCAAAATGTTAGGAGTGCAATTAGAAGTGCAAACGCAATTCTAGGCTAAACAGGCAATACAACTCCATTCCAAGCTCCCTGTGGAAATTAGACCCCGATCCACTATTCGGGTATTAGTTATTGCTACCCACTCTTCCTACCATTGTGTAGTGTTGAGACGGCCGCGATCAGCCGCCTAACGGATTTAATGTGCGTTAGGGCACCTAAAGCAAGTAACTCATGAAACCGATTTGCATTACCAGAGACTTGGGTAAGGGCTCGAAATAATCTTGAGGAGAAGGTGTTAGGCACCCCTCGCGGTCCACAACGGTGGGTCCTGGCCGAACTCAAATTATGTGAATTAGTCATTAAAGAAATAAAGTACATAAATACATTAAGTTTATTCCAATGGGGTAAAGGGGGTCCTAAGTTTGTTGGCCTATAGGGTCACTTCTGTACAATACCCGGTAAGCTTCCTCAAATAGAGGGGTTACACGTGGCTGTCGACGCCCCCTTTTTTCTCGCGAAATTGGGTTTACGACATTTGGGAAGACAACTCTATTCCCGTTTGGGACTTGGGTTTTTGGATTTGAAGAGTCGCCGCCTAATGATTGAGTACATTAGGACACTAAGAAGGGTTTTTGAGTTGGAAAACCAGAGTTCGGGTAAGGACTAGAAATTATCTCAAGGGGAAGGTGTTAGGCACCCCTCAAGATCCACTAGTTATTCCCAGCCATGCTATGTTGTGACTTTAATGCAAATAGATACACAAATGATTTTACACATAAGGGGTTGTAAATTGATACATGACAAGTATGTGGGATCAAGGTCTAAATGATCTACAATTTGTTTAAAGGGGGGGACTAAACGCAGAAAATTAATCAATACATTGAATAAACAAAGAAGAAAAATTTGGAAGAAAAGGAATAATGCAGTAAAATTAAGGAGGAGTTTTGAGTAGTTGAAAAGACAGGATTTTATAGATATTAAACAAAGTTGTATAAAGAAAGGGGTCCTAGGTTTAGAATCACATGGATCATCCACACAACACCGGTAATCAATCGTACGCGTAGTGTTATCGTGTGATCATCATCTCCATGTCTACCCTTCCCACCCCGTTAAGGTATTAAGCGCGAAATAGTCTCGTTTACTTATTGCATGCTATTACCCGTCCCACCTATCAGTCCTGGAGGCTTTTAAGACTACAAATCCTAAAGGGAGGAAGCTTGGCTTTTCAGAGGTTTAAAAAGGTTAAAATACTAAGGCGTCAAGAAAAACACATGAAAGCAGTTATGGGAGCACAAGACAATTAAGGCTCAGATAAACCTCCTTTAATCACATAAAATCATGTAGTTTAGCATGTCTTACATGTAATGATTAGGTCGAAATTATGCTTATCGTTAGGCAGGCTGGTTCATTACATATTTTTAGGCAAGAAGTTCGCATTAGGCTCGCCTGGCTGCAACTTATCGAAGACTAGTGCAATTAATTAACTACATACTCGTTTGCCTACGTGATGGCCTATAGGCATGTCATCTACTGGTTTCAGGAATAAAGAAACAAACTGATTAAAAAAGTTTCCAGTTTTAATAGAATGGTGCGAGTTCTGTAATTAGTGCTAATCTTAAAACGAGTGATTCAGATTTGATTTATAGTTCCTATAGGCATGCTTTCTAGCGTCGTTAATTTAAACACTTTTTACAGGCGTAGCAAGAGCGCAGAAGTCCTATATGCATGGTATCTGAATACTGTTAGTTTTTAATCCTATAAATAGGTTTGCCTAGTGGCCAATGCATGCGCAGAGTATGGATTTCTGGTTACTTATAGGCGTGGTATC